TAAACAATCCGAGAAACTACACTTAACTTACCTCAGCCCCAACCCCGCGGTCGCCACGTCGTTAACCTCACCTCACTCTTAAACAATCCGAGAAACTACACTTAACTTACCTCAGAACTATTACGGGTCAGCACATCGTTAACCTCACCTCACTCTTAAACAATCCGAGAAACTACCCTTAACTTACCTCAGAACTATTACGGGTCAGCACATCGTTAACCTCACCTCACTCTTAAACAATCCGAGAAACTACCCTTAACTTACCTCAGAACTATTACGGGTCAGCACATCGTTAACCTCACCTCACTCTTAAACAATCCGAGAAACTACACTTAACTTACCTCAGAACTATTACGGGTCAGCACATCGTTAACCTCACCTCACTCTTAAACAATCCGAGAAACTACACTTAACTTACCTCAGAACTATTACGGGTCAGCACATCGTTAACCTCACCTCACTCTTAAACAATCCGAGAAACTACCCTTAACTTACCTCAGAACTATTACGGGTTAGCACATCGTTAACCTCACATCACTCTTAAGCAATCCGAGAAACTACCCTTAACTTACCTCAGAACTATTACGCGTCAGCACATCGTTAACCTCACCTCACTCTTAAACAATCCGAGAAACTACCCTTAACTTACCTCAGAACTATTACGCGTCAGCACATCGTTAACCTCACCACGCACTCCTAAACAGTCCGAGAAAATACCATTGACTTACTTCAGAAACATACGTGGTCTCTACCTAATTAAAATCACAGTGGTCTTTTAACCCTAAGAAACTACCTTTTACTTATCTGAGAAATCTTTTACACAATCCGAGAAACCATCCTTGGTAATCTTAAAACTATTATGCGATTACCATCTCGTTAGTATTACTGTACCTCGCTCTAAGAAAAACAAAGAAAATACCCATAGCCAAACCTATTACCGGGTCTTAAAATCTAGAACTTAACGTCACTTACAGAATCCGATAAAATTACCTTTTATTTTTCATAACTAACCCTAGTGCATTATCTTGCCAATATTAAAACTAATGATGATATCTCTAGCCATCATACTCTAAAATTAAAAAGCCAAATCATACAGAAGGATGCAGATTTGAAATAATTTGCAATCATTTACTAAACAATACAATAATCCGAGTAGCCCGCAACTGTTAGTTGACCAACAGCACTTAACAAACAGTAATCCAGAGAGTCGATGTCCATTGCCCAATAAGCTGCGAGGACATTAATAATACAACGCTATAAACAGTTTACGGAGATCATAAAGGTGGTCGATGGTACCTTTGTTGTAAATCGCGGTTACAATAGTAGCGGACGTTTATTGTTGAGTCTGGCGTTGAATATGTGATTCGTGCAATAATTCAGTTTGTCGTGTGTCGCGGGCCCGTGAGAGATCGTCGATCCTTTCACCATTTCTCCGGGGGCCGTGCCTTTCATTAACGGTATTAACGTATGCGGCGCACTCTGGAGACATCGTCATAATGTATATCTGTGTGTCACAACTTGGATCCCGCGGGCCACCCCCTCCACCCCCTCCCGCACTCGCTCAATCCCGTTAATTATACGGTCCTGTGTTGTGGTGTGAAATCAACTGTGATTTATTGTTAATCTGGATTTCTCTGAGACAATTGCTGAGTTGGTACCAAAATGTGTTTTAGGAGTTTGTTTTCTGTGGTGGTTTCACCAGGAAGTTCATGAGTTAAATGCATCAAATGATTAGCACTCGTTCGAATAAAAAAATGTGTAAGTGAATCGTGATTATTTCGTGACATAAATAGGATCATTGAAAAATGTGTTTCTGATTTGATTAGTTTACAAAATTGTTCGAAGAGGGTGTAAGAGGGAGCAGGATTAATGTGAAAGTGACTGGATTCCGTGCGATGTCTGTCCAAGCAAAAAACTGGTGCTTAAGATTGCATGCATACGTGTTCTTTCGAGGAGATGGACGCCGCGCCGCCCTGTTGGCAATATCACTTAGGATTTTATTTTATCAATATGTTAAGTAGATGTGAAATAATTCATGTAGGTTTATTCCACGATTTTAAAACGTTCATGAATTAGCCAAAAATCTTCCCTGTTCAACTAGAGATTGTCGGTCACTTACAGCACTTCCGTAGTCAATAACCGTTAACTAATATAAATTCATTTAAAATATTATAACTAAAAGTTTTTTTTCCATTTGTATATAGTTTATAAAATATACGAATTTTATGATGACCTATATAATGGTTAAAGGACTAACTCCTACAATAACCAAGAGGTCAAGTTGTGCTTTTACCCTACTTACTTACTGCTACCCTACAGCTCCCTTGTATAAGAAATTCTAGTACTATAAGACGCGAACTTACAATAACAACTTTAAAAATGCTATTTTTATACAACATTGTAATTTATTAGTTATTAGCTTAGTAGTAGCTTGTAAAAGATTAGGGAAATTCTTGCGACCTGGCTACTTTATAACTCACAAGTTATCTTGTAAACTGTCGTCATCTAATGAATTGTAGTAGTTCAAAAGCTAAAGGGTATTACCGGTCGTGCGTGTCTGAGAACTTTGTTAAAGAGGGAATTATAATTCTTGTTAAAGTTGTAAAAAAGTTTTGAAAAGAAATAAAACCTTTTGACTGTGTAGGCTAGGCTGGAAAACTTGATACTTTCTGTGAACCGAATTACTTGACCGAAGGAAATAAGCACGAAAATAATTGTTGCTTATCGTAGTATTTTAAGAATTACTGGAGGACAGTGATACGCTGAAGACTACTACGTATACATATCTACCAGATAACTAGCGCCAGTATAGCTTGTAGATCTACCGTGTGTGTCAGGTCCTAGAGTGTGAGCAATAGATATCCATGTTACATATTTTTTGGATGATGGCTTGGATAATTAATTTATAGTTTAAAATTTAATCGTTACATTATCTTTCAAACTATGGATGTAAAGCTTCTTTTGTAAAATCTAAGGAATAGTAGTTGTCGTACAAGTGTGGCAAAGCCAAGCTTGGAAATACGATTAAATACCAAAAAGACACTTTCGCTTCGTGTGATGGACAACTATTTTCATCACACTGTGAAAATAACCTTCTAATCGTTACAAAATTAGACGACATAATTTGAGGTTATCAAACTCGTCATCAATGTTTACATTTGCTGTTTACAAACATAGCTTTAAATGTCGTTTGATTAGCATCGTTTTCATAATGCACTGATGAAATGTTGAGGTTAGCTAACAGAAAAATTTACCATGATTGTGTTTTTTTTCTGTTTCCTGTTTAAAGTTACCTGAAAACTATGAATTTTCTGACGATTTAATAGAATAGAAAACGGCTGATTTCCTGACAGTATGATGGAAAGAATATTTTCTATATATTTATTGACCTTTATTGATATTTACGGCTGTTCACATATTTTCCTATCACTGCATCCAAACTTCGGAATGTTTGATTTCATTCAACATTTTACCTCAATAAGTGGACTTTCCAAAGATAACCTCATGAATAGGCAACAGAGGCGAGAAAACAAATTAAGGTAATTGATTGGCTGGTCCGTAACTGAAAGATAATATCCAAAACAGGAGAAACAAACGACCATCTATCGCCTATCGGGTATAATTTAGAGATACATAAGAACTTCTAAAATCTTGTTAAAACGAAACTTCCGGGAGGGCTTTGAGCTGTGAATACACAGTTATTTTAATTGGATGATAACAAAAGCTGATTCTAGTGGAATATTTTAAAATTTGTTTTGTACAATCCTCCCACTTAGAAAATATTATTTTCATTCCCAAAACGTTACGAAATTCATGATTATAATACTAGAAAATGTAACCTGCTAGACATTCCGATGGTTAAATTTCCAGTCTCTATCAATAGCCATCAATCCCTACAAATAACACTCTTTACTCTCAACCAGTATTGGAGCAAGTTTTTGTAAAATTTACAAAATAATTTGGCTGAGTGGCTTCTTGACAGGTCTTTTAGTCTGTAGAAGATATTTAGGATTTCAAGAATCTTATATGTAGTGTTTTGTTACTATTGCAATCAAATCTTCTACTGTAATTCATTGTAATTTCGTTTCTACAAACAGGGCCGGATTTAAAATTTGGGCTCTTCTAGGCCTGATAATTTTTTTCCTCCCCTAAACTGGAAGTTATTTTTTAATAAGCCATTACTAAAAAATTAAATCAGGTATCACTCAAAATGCAATTTTATCATTGCAAGTTTCTTTAAATAATTTACTTGGTTCTGGTCGTAAATAAAAGTCATCTTAAAACGAGTTTAGCAATTTTATGAATTCAATATTAAGCTGACGTTTGTGGGACTGATACAAAACTATTCAGCCTTCAGAGCATTCCCGCTGGAAAGAATGGCCATTTCTTCGAAAGAAAAAAAACTGTCCAAAACTTAGATCAGATATTTAGTCAATGTCGGTGAGGTTATCGTCAATCACCTCTATTACCAAGGTTTGTGACATAATACTATTCTGATAAATAACTCAATGTAGTTAGTTTTAATCTTTACTCTAGCATCAGATATAACAGGCTAACATTGCATGCGACATTAACCAGAAAAGGAAGGGGCAATGATGGAATTACACAAGAAAACATCAACATTTTAGTTGTTTTGATTTCCGACCCTGAGAATGTACAGGTTCTTATAATTGGAATATTTCGAACACAAAAGATTTCCTTATTTCTGAAAACCTTTTAACAAAAAATATTCATATTAACTGCGTGTAAAATTTATTAAATAAAAGTTCCTGCAAGTAAACATAATATTTTACAGAATTAAAGTAGACAATGTCTATTTTTAATAATCATAAATTTAAAAATAGGTGTAGTATCTTAGATTTTGTCACTTGTAAACTTTGTACAAATAAATTTACTCTTATTTATACTCATAAAACTAACTACCCTAGGGGTAATTGAAAAATTTTCAAAAACCAACTTAGTTCTGAATGGCCAAGGAGGTAAGGTAAGGTAAAAATGTATTTTAGGGCTGTAATTTATTGTATGTATATTGTTTTCAATATACTCACCGAGATGTATAAAGTGCCAATTTGATAATTGTTTTTTGTATTGTGTAACTAAATAAAATATTACATTTGCAAAGTTATGTAAACTTAATGTAATTCCATAAAAATAATTTAATTTTAATTAATCTAGTTTCATAAATTGACAAATTAATTGGTATTACTGCTTTGGCTAACTGGTGACACATTAGTGTTTTTTATACAAAAACGGGGTTTTAATACTAAACTTAAAGTAAATAAATAATCTCACTGATTTACAACTACATACATGTCATTTGTACTGTGTGAGGCGAGTTTATTTGCCGAAGTGTCTGTTGGAGAGCCACCGCTGCTTGATCATGTCCGCTCCCTTCTCACCGATCATGTAGGCCGTGGACATGGTGTGGCCGCCGGTGATGACTGGTATGATGGAAGTGTCTATCACCCGCAGCCCTGCCACGCCGTACACGCGGAGGCTAGGGTCGACCACGGCCTCGACGTCGCTGGGAGGTCCCATCTTGGCGGTGCCGCACTGGTGGTGCAGCTGTAGGGTCAGCTGGCGCACCGAGCAGCCCCAGTACTCCCGCGAGCCGAACTGTAGATGAGCACACCCGGGGATAGGTACGTCGTGGAGCTTGGACCCGAACTTCTGGAAGGCCTGCGTCTTGCTCAGGTCGACCACCGTTTGTAGAGCTTCAGCCATCACCAACTCGTCAATCTTCTCTGTTAAAAAGTTAGCGAAGATTTTGGGAGGTTTCAGTGGATTCGTGCTCGCTAGCCGGACAAAACCTTTACTCTTCGGATAAAGCAGCATCGGCCAAACCGTCCAAGCGTCTCTTTCGTTGATGTCTCCCCAAACCGCGTTGTACACATCGTCTCTTACTTCCATCGTTCTTCTTAAGGACGAGCCCCTGTCCGTCGCCAAGGAAGCTGGGACGAAAATATATTCTATATCCGGAAAGGCAGATTCGTTTGCGTATTTCGTTCGAATGTAGCCTAATGCCTCGCACCCTAACATCGTAAATGGGCCTTGACCTTGAAAGTATTGGATGCCGAAAGTAGTAAAGTTTCTCAGGAGTCTGTTAACTACGACTCCGACTTCTTGGTTTACAAGAAATGTCAGACCGGCCATACCGATGTGCTCTTGAAGATTATTTCCTACAGATAAGTCCGAAATCACTGGAATTCCCATTTCCGTCAAATGGTCTCTTGGTCCGACTCCAGACAACATTAGAATCTGTGGTGTGTTGAAGGCTCCAGCGGATAGTATAACTTCTTTTCTAGCAAACACGACTCGTTTCCTCCCTTTTTTGATGAACTCCACTCCGTACGCTCTTTTAGTTCTAGGATCTATCAAAACCTTGGTAACGTGAGCTTGAGTGGTGACATGGAAATTCCTTCTCTTTCTAATCGGGTAGAGAAAAGTCCTAGACGCCCCGTTTCTTCTACCTTTATACATTGTTGCTTGAATAGGAGAAAATCCGATAGGAGTATTTGGATCGTGATAATCAATAAAGTCATACCCGACTTCTTTTCCGGCCTCCATGAATGCGTCTCGAAGTGGGGTGTGGAATGGAACATAATCAACATTCAAAGGGCCGTAGTGCCCGTGGTACGGAGATTCTTTTAGCCAAGGGATCGCGACTTTCTCCGATTTGGTGAAGTATGGAAGAACCTCTGCATAGCTCCAGCCCGGGTTGCCGAGTGCGGCCCACCTATCGTAGTCCCCCGCGTTGCCTCTGGTGTAGATGAGGGCGTTGATGATCGTTCCTCCTCCCATGCCCTTGCCCGCGGGCCACGGACAGGTCCTGCCCTCCAGGCCCTGGCAGGCTTGACTCTGCCGCTCCGCCTGGTAGCCCCAGTTGTACTCGGTCCACCACAGGTACGTGTTGAAGATTGGCACGTCTGTATAATAGTTGTCGTCAACCCCTGCCTCCAGTAGCAGTACCTTCCAGTCAGGTACCTCAGTCAGTCTGTTGGTTACCACACACCCCGCGGCTCCAGCACCGACCACGATGAAGTCGTACTCGCTCAGGAGAGGCTTGTTGTCCAGGAACCTGAAACATGTCACTAGTGTCCTAACTATGTCCCTTTGCTTTCAAACTTATGATAATAAAAGGACGTAAATCTGGCTTTTGCTATTTGCTATTATTTTGATGAGAGATTTAACATCTTACACACTACACAGATTAAAGTCAATCAATTTGTCCAAAACGCCGAAACATGAACGAGCTAATATAAACGGGTGAACTATGTCGTACTAATGCCAATGCAATTGACAGAAACCCGAAGTATTGTTACTATTTGGCAAACGAGCGTTAGGCTATTACTTTAATGGCTATTTCTTGATAGTCAGAGAAGTTTAATAACATTTCTTGTGATAGTTTACAACAAGAGCGTCACTGTACATAATTGGTAACCTAACTACAATGTTTGCTCTTTAATTAATTTTGGACATGCCTCAAGAGTTAGGCATGTAGGCTACGTATAATGTTGATACTTCATGAAGCCAATTAATATGCCTTAGTAATATCAGACGTTCCGTGACCTAAGTCATACTGTATTACTTAATTTCCTCCACAATTGTCATAAAAGTAGCTATACAAGTTAGGCGTTATACTGTTATTTTGGAAATATGCACGTTAAACCATTTGCAATGGAAATACCTTTTGCACTTCCATTAATTTCGTAGTATTATAATTACTAAAAAATACCCCCGTCGCAGCAAACCTGACAACTAAGCGAATTTCCATTTGTCTGAATTGATTTTCAATTAAATATATTTAAATGAGTACCTAGGTTTGCTGCTACAAGGAAACTAATAAAGTGTGTTTTTTAGTAAAATATTAATAGCTTAGTACAAAATAAATAAGTTTGCCAAGATTGATCAAAATATATCCATAAACAACCAAACTACAACATTTTACAATATTCTCCATAAGAATAACATGGGAATTTTTAATTTAAAATTTTTTTAAATTTTCTCCGTTACCAATAACCGTACAAAAATACTTTTATATACTAAATTATTTGTTTTTTTTTAAGCACTTTAAAAAGGTATCAAGAGAAATTGGGAAACTTTGTGTTTTGAGGGTCAAAAGTGAGAAAAACCAATTTTTACCCCATAAAACCCCCCGTAAAGCCCTGTTCCCATGGTCCGATCATGCTGGTTCGCGAACTCATTCAAGTTTATCCCGCTTTACACCTTTACACCAAATTTCATCAAAATCGGACAAAAATTACTCAAGTTATCGCGTTCACGGACACACATATATATATATATATATATATATATATATAAATATATATATATATATAAATTTGAACGAATTGTGTTTTTGGCCTCTGGGGACATCAAAATGAAAAAGTAAATCGCTCCCGGGCTTAGGTCTTACCATGCCACCTACGGTAATAGCTACTTCCCTATTGGGAAATTCGCTAATAACTACACAATGTTCTTCTCCCAAGTTAGGATTGGATCGATCTCCAGAAACTAAATGCGTTTTGTTTACTAAAAATGGATCATACTAAATAAGAACCATTGTTAAAAATACTTTAGCTAAAAAGATTTTAATAATACACTATATTTCTCTAAGTACTCTTGTGTTACATTCCCCTTTATACCACTCAATATCAGTATAGTTGTTAACATGGACTGACCTGTTCTCTCTGAAGGGCAGACCACGTTGCTTGTACATCCTGATGATCTTCTCCAGGATGGACAGCTGAGCTTGGGCCTGGAGTGTCAGAAGTCCCAACACCATCGTCCACACCACGACCATCCTGCTGTTGACTGTCATCTTCTAGGCTTCATGTCTCCTACACATTTAATCACATTAACATGCGTACCCAACCGGTACACACTGTTAAATATTTCCAATGTATTAGGTATATTTATGTGGAGTTTATGAAGATACTAGCAGAGTACCCGTCCTTCGTACGGGGTTAGCATATAGTATAAAATGCTTATTGCAGTTACACTCAAGCTTTGCGTTTGCAATGAGGGAGGACACAGTTTGATAAAAATTTGCTTCTTTATATTTACAGTATTATATAGTGTTACACATCTCTACCATAGCCATAATGTTCTACCACTTCACCTAAACAATAGAGAAAAATTAACTGTAAAAAAATTGTTAATAAAAATATAAACTTAACTGTAAACAATCCTACTTTCACAGTCAGTTCTCATTGCGTATCACAGTTTTTTTTTTGTTGCTTAGTTTAAATTAGCTGTTTTCATAAATGCAAAAAAATATAGTGCTGCACCCTGTTGGTAAATCTCATAACTTTTAATGCTTTTTCATACCTTAGAACCATATTTTTTAGTCGAAACAGGTGACTAAATTCTTTACTTCCTTTTAAATATGAATACTCATAAGGTTACCATGGGGAACTACAGAGCCACTGGGGCGGAGCCCGAAAGGATTTTTGAGATTAGAATATGCTTATATGTTAATCGGGAATGTGAGCTATCATCATGCCAAATTTCAGCCCAATCCGTCCAGTAGTTAATGCGTAATTGAACTTCAAACAAACAAACACACAAACTTTCACATTTATGATATTAGAAAGATTGGTAGACTTAATGTTTAGTAGTATACGTTAACCTAATCTTTACTAACTCAAGTTTAATAATAAAATCACTTAGCCTAATTCGTTTGTGGAAGACATTTTAAAATCGTCAATTTAATGGACATATTGTTAATTTGAACAAATATTTGTTTAGTGAATTGCCAGTGGAAACTATTGCAGTGTAATTTGAACTTGTTTAGAATATTGAATGTACAAGTTATGGAGATTATTGAGATTTTGACCAGCCCTGCGTGACCGTGGCAAGCGGAAACAGGCGGTATTGCCTCGTTTAAATGATTTAATTACAGCACGTGATATCTTACCTTGGATACTTTAATGGTCACTAATTGTTGTCCATTCAATACCTACTGCCGTTCAATATTCCTTCAAATTGTCCATATTAATCCTAATTGATATACAAACGTAACAATTCTAGTCTGGCCAGTATTGTAAAAATATAGTCAATGGTATAATATTCGATGAAAGAAAAACAAAATTTTCTTAAATCATTTTGTTTTTTTACTTGCTTAGAGTATTTCAGATACGTACTGGTACAGAAAAGTTATGGGTGCCAGCAAATCTTGTTTTATTGCTTGTATAAGTTTGTCAATCTTCGAGATAAACTTATTATTTATTTACAAATAGCACTAATTATTCTATAAGCTTGCAGAATTAATTTACTACAAACTTGAGAATAAAGGTAACATTATAAACATACTATACACATACTATACCTGTACATAATCACAACACAAGGGAAGTGAGGAAATGTATTTTTAGTAAGATTTCAAAACTGTAATATGTAAGTAATGTGGTGAAATATAGATAGTTCTGTCCTAGTTGAGTGAAACGTACGAGTGCAGACTATTACGCATTTTATTGGTGTGAAAGTTGAGTAATTTACTGAAACATTTCATTAGAAGCAGTCGTAAAACGGTAATCGGACCGGTAATGTATTTTTTGTCTTTTTGCCAGAAAAACAAGAAGACATTGAGCTCAATTTTAGCTACAGGTCTATAGGTCAGCCTGTGGGAGTATTGGTTGGCTGAGCGATTAAATTTTCTATCAAGGGGCCCACATTTGTTTAACTTTATACTTAGCCTACATAGGAATCATTTTAACTATGGAGTTTATGGAAGTAGACGACAAAACATTAAAACTCCATTTTCAGGATGAATAACGCAATCAAATTATTTACTGGTTATAATTCGACATGACTATGACCTACACACTGCAAACACTCGAGTTAGCACATTCCTAAAATGTCCAGCTCATTAAGGAATCAAGTAAGTATTTGGACACTTGCAATCACGTAGTGATTATTCCGGTCCAACCTTATACTTTCATTTCAGATTACGTTTGTGATTAATTATTGTTTCTGGTCATCCGGAAATAATTAGTCACGTATACCGAATATTTTGAGCCTAATGTCATAACTGGGCCAGCATGAGCTAGACACCATGCTTCCTCCGCCTGTTTTATATAATCGGACCCTCCCATCGCCCTCAAACCGGACCCATAGCAGCAGTCGTGGATGCCGTCATCTTGCTGTATAACTAGGTCATTAGCTGCAATAAGGTCCGGCTTGATTATTGGGAAAAATAATATCGTTTGATGATAAAGTCACTACTCAAGGTTTTGGATCATACTGCTTTGCTATATTAAAATAAACGGTATCAGCAATCTTCCACAGCATCAGAATCACACAGTTGTTGACATCTTTCTCCCGTTACCTTGTCAACAACATGGCACATGGGTAAGCAGTTTGAATAACTTTGTTAATTTATTGGCAAAATCACAAAAGTTGTAATAACTTTTGAACCGTACTCTTTCATCAATAGTTGTACCAAGACGTTTAAAGTTAAAAGGACTAACTCTGTCCTCTGCAGCTTTTGAAAGACATTACCGTTTCATTATCCGTCCAAGTTGAGATCATCAATAAGGTGGGAAAGCAACCTTTCAAACTTAATTGATTGTTTACAAACAGATACGTCTCTGCATTCCTTAAATCAAAATTATCATATCAATTTCCAGAATTTGAGGCTCCACGTTTAAGACATGTCACAATCATTTGCATTTCTTACATACGTACAGTTTCCGCTGCTTGGATAAATTATAGAAAATTGAAAATGTAGGAAAATGAAAATTTGTAGAAATAAATTTGTGTGAAAGAAGTCAATCATGAACTTTAAGTATTACGATCAACTAGGGCGAAAATATTTTTTTCATTTGCACACGAATCATACTGTGTGTCTATAACTGTACTCGTACAGTGGATATAAACTAGTTATGGTAACTAAAAACTTCAAAAGGTATTTTATAATTTGTTATACATATATAATGTTTTTTGTTTAGTTTTTACCGCCCCACGTGTTTCCCTCGACAGCGTGTTCTATGTTCCGCCATCGGACACTGGTCACACCGCAAGGCCGGGGAAAGTCCTTGCCTGACCTTCAACCCACACTGCACTACTTTCATCCGCAGTTGTATAGTGTCCATTTGGCGCGCATTCCCAAAATCTATATTTCTTCCAAAAACGCTCGTATTAAAACTCAATTTTTTTTCAAATTTTTTGGAATAGTTGATTTGTTTAACAAATAATAGTAGTATTTCTTTAGTTTTATTCGGATATTTTGATAAGTTTTGAAAATCTACTAAATGAAAGTGTAATTTTAAGGGGAAAATCAAAATTTTTAACATACTTCATACCATGTAATTACTCATTTTTTTAGTTACAAATGTTTTAAATTACTGTATATGTTTTTGGACGTTTTTTATGTACTATTTTTAATTCTTTAATTTGTTTTGATAAGATAATTCTTTTAAATCATATTAAATCAAATTTATCACAAAATATATTATAGGACCATTATAGGAATTAGTTCAATCCCTTTTATTCAGACAAATGACTCAAAAGATATAAATCCTATTCCCAAAATCATGGATAAAAATAACAGCCTACTAAATATTTTACATATTTAATGGTTGGTTTAGTTCCAATGAGTTTATAAACCAAATGAGCGGGTTTGGATGTAGAAGTGTAAGCATAGTGATGGGTGTTCATAGTGTTTTTCAAATCATCTACCTGATAAGCATTCAAAAAGTTTCTAAAGGTGAAGTGACATTGATGTGATGTTTTAATAGGAGATGAGATCACTGGGGCTATTCTATGACTTTGTCCTTCAGCCTTTGAAAGCTGTTGCCATTTCCGTATTCCTCCAATCCAAAAACCAGTCCGTCTTGACAAAAACGTCAACTTAGGACCAGACCCAACGACGACGGGTCGAAATCGAAAGCGAATATAACATATTTGAAATGCGTTGTAAATGATTACATCTGGAATTACTAATTACTGCATTAATCTAGTCCTCAAAAGGCAAGTCAGTAAAAAAAACTGCTTATTAAAAACAACTATTTACAACATAATAATCATTATATACAACAATATAAAGATCAGGTACTTCATAAAACACAAAGTTATAAAAAATCGAAAAACATGAAAATGCCGAAAAGAAGATAGGTTAGTACACTTTAAGGTAGTATGTATATACTACCTTAAATACATTACTCACACCATATACAACTAAAGACATACAAAACACTATGACTCTACACTCCACCACCAAGATGTATACTACCTGTGTAGTTTTAAACACACCAAACGTCGAATAGGTATAAATAATAATACATAAGTAACATTTCAGAATCAACGTCATGATAAATTTTAAAAACTCTGTAAATCGTTACAGTATATTGAGTAGTTTTAGACTTAGTTTTTGTCTGTATTCTAACCTTATAGCAAGCACTGTTATCAACAATAATGTGACTGACCAGTCCATTGGCGAAAAGTACTTTCTAAAGACAACGCCTCACTGAGTCACAGTTCTCACAGTGTCCACTACTTCCGCTGTGAGTGGACCATTGGACTGAACTGAGCGTTGATTATTTAAGATTTACATTATCAACCAATAATTATTGTTTAAGTAGTTAAGTAGATAATAAGTCATTGTAAATATTCGTAATTTAATAAAGCATATTTTATTTGAGTGAAATATATAATCAGCTACGATTAACGCTACTTGGATAGTCATCTGCTAACTAGTTGGATGACTGAATGATCCCGAATCGCCAGAGGACTCATGCAACACAGTGTTCAATATTTGAGTGCACAATAGCAAAATAATATTGTTGTGCCGTATTTTTCTATTTATAATTC